GGTGGGGCGCGCTCCCCTTCACCGGATGCGATCCAGGGACCGGATGCAAACGCAGGCCCTCCAGTGCCTCCCTCGGGGCACCGTGGGCCCCACCTGGAAGCCACTCGAGCCCGGAGGCTCCACGTTTCGGAAGTCACATGGTGGGTGCCCTCGTGGCGCGACCTGTGCATTTGCAGGAAAAGCCTCCTGGGAAACCGCAATAGCGGTCCCGGTGCAAAAAGAAAAAAGAAAAAAAGTTGTCTCGCTGCCAACCTGCCTGAAGGTGCAGGAAAGGGAGCCGGGCGGCCCGTAAACACGCCCACGTGCGGTGCATCAGCAGCAGTTGCAAATCCCACACGTGCTGGGTCGGCCTGATGCCCCGGCCCGGCCGCCTGGCCGCCTGGCCCTGGGGTGACTCGCGGGAAACCGACCTCCAGGCCCTTCCGAGATCTCCGCCAGGATCCACTCTCCCTTCCCCGGGAGAGCAGCACCCCGAGAAACGCGTGCAAAGCGTGCAAAAAGTCACACCTTGAAATCAAAGCTCCATCAACAGAAACCCAACATCGGTGCCCCCTGCACACCAGGCACCCCGGTCCCGGGAAGGATGCAAAGATCGAATCCCGTGACCTGCCCAACACACGGCATTTGCAAAAGCTAGGACGGTGACAGGCTTGTATTTGCATAGCATATTTTCTTAAATCACAGGCCCGTGGCCATTGCAGAATTCCCAGCTAAATAAATTCTCGTGATTCCATAACAGGCGACATTCCCTGAGAAATGTCACCATTGAAACCATAAAGATGATTCACGAATCCTCCTGGGCCTTCTCTTGAGTCTGCTCAAGGACTTGAAAGGCGGCATTTAACGAGCATTTTGAAACAAGAAATATCCCTAGGCCCTGGCTGGTGTGGCTCAGTGGATAGAGCCTCGGCCTGCGGACTCAAGGGTCCCAGGTTCGATTCCGATCAAGGGCATGTACCTTGGTTGCAGGCACATCCCCAGTAGCGGGTGTGCAGGAGGCAGCTGATCGATGTTTCTCTCCCATCGATGTTTCTGACTCTCTATCCCCTCTCCCCTCCTCTCTGTAAAAAAATCAATATATATATGTATGTATGTATGTATGTATGTATTTGTATGTTTCTAACTCCCTGCAGCTACACGCCGGCCTTCTGCCACTGGAGCGGTGGAACTCGAGTGCTGCGGAGTAGAGTTCAGCGTTAAAAGGAAGACGGAAAATTCACAAACTTCAGGCCGCGGTAAAATATGAGTGGGTGCCCCTGAGGAATGAGGCTGCGGCTTTATCCCGGGTGTCAGTGTTTAATGGGGAGCTGGGATGCGGACACGCCAGGCCATCCGTGAAGGGCAGTGGGACGCCGGCGTGAAAAGCCAACTTGGTTCCTCCGTGATCAAGATAAGAAACCTGTCATTTCTCTCATTCACGGTGTCAGCCTTGAGCTCCCCGGAGCGGACTCACCTCGGGGTTGTACACTCCATCGATCAGGAAGATGGACAGACCCCGTAAACCGCCACGGAGGAGGGAAGCCGTTAACGCTAATCATTTCTGCCGCAGCAGCACCTGAGATAAACTTTCCGGGGAACAGACAAAAGAAGACACACTCCATCAAGGTCAATTTAGTTTTCTATTTTTCAGCATTAGCGGCGGTGCCTTGAGCATTTGTAACAGCGGTTCTCAACCTGTGGGTCGCGGCCCCTTTGGGGGTCGAACGACCCTTTCACGGGGGTCGCCTAAGACCATCGGAAAACACGCATATAATTACATATTGTTTTTGTGATTCATCACTATGCTTTAATGATGTTCAATGTGTAACCATGAAAATACATCCTGCATATCAGATATTTACATGACGATTCATAACAGTAGCAACATGACAGTGATGAAGTAGCAACGAAAATAATTTTATG